TGGAATATAAATAGATAGTAGCCTATACATGTGGTTTTAGCATGGTGAGTTCAGTTTATTTTAGTTTAAATTACTAATTTTAAAAATTTTTGTTTAGTTCTAGTTTGAAACAAGAATTTTAGTTTTAGTTTAGTTCGAGTTTGAATTTAAGAAAAGTCATTGGAAATTTAGTTTTGGCTTAGTTCTAGTTTGAAACAATTAAGAATCTTATTTTAGTTCAGTTTAGCTTGAGTGTGAATTTCAACAAAAATCATTGGTGAAAATTTAGTTTTGGCTTAGTTCTAGTTTGAAAGAAGAATCTTATTTTAGTTTTAGTTTTAGTTTCAGTTTTAGTTTAGTCCAAGTTTGAATTTCAACAAAAAAATCATTGAAAATTTAGTTTTGGCAGTTAGTTGTAGTTTGAAACAACAATTTCATTTTAGTTTAGTTCCAGTTTCAATTTCAACAAAAAATCATTCAAAATTTAGTTTTGGTAGTTAGTTTAGTTTGAAACAAGAATCTTATTTTAGTTTTAGTTTGGTCAGAATTCCAACAAAAAAATCATTGAATATTTAGTTTTGGCTTAGTTCTAGTTTGAAACAAGAATCTTATTTTTGTGTTAGTTTAGTTCGAGTTTGAATTTCAACAAAAAGTCATTGATGAAAATGTAGTTTTGACTGAGTTCTAGTTTGAAACAAGACTGAAGTTCATTTTAGTTTTAGTTTAGTTCGAGTTTGAATTTCAAAAAAAAAATCATTGAAAATTTAGTTTTGGCTTAGTTCTGGTTTAAAACAAGAATTTCATGTTAGTCTCAGCTTCTTTACAATAGTTTAAAACGAAAAGATTAAGTGTAGTTTTAGTTCAATTTAGTTTCAGTTTAGCTATTAATAGTTCTATAATGTAAAATGAAAAATTCAAAATGATTTTAGCTTTAGTTCAATTGCAGTTTGGCACAAGACTCTCATTTTAGTTTTAGCATGGTCGGATCCTAAAATAACATATAAAATCAAAATTACTAATAATTATAATAACTTATAAAATCAGTTTAATGATTAATATCATTGTTAAACCATTTGGTAGTTCTCAATCGTAAACTTGATGACTGTTCATATGTCATGTGGCTTCTCACTTTATTCTTAATCATTTGGGGCTGGCTAGAAGATCAAAACCCGAAGTTGAGCGCCTCCGAAGAAAAACCAACATCTAAGAACTTTTCACCGCTTCTGAACTTACAACGATACCCGATAAACTTTGTTTACTTTGGACATCAACACGAGACAATGTCTTCAACTACCCTTGCATGTAAATACCGGTACGGTTTGGAAATTGTGATAAAACACAAGAATTTACATCCACATCTGTGTATCTTCTGTGTAATATCCTCTGTGTGTCGTCTGTGTATCCTCTGTGCATCCTTCTGTGTAATCATTAAAAAAACTTATATCCATGGTTTAGTTCAGTTTTATTTTCCTGAAACAAGAATCTTACTTCAGTTCTAATTTAGTTCAAGTTTGAAAGAAAATTTCGGTCCTGGTTTAAAAAAAATCATTTTATTTTTAGTTCAGTCCCAGTTTGAAACAAGAATCCCACTTTAAAAAGCCAGTTTTCCACTTCAAGCGTACCGTACCGAAACGTATCAAAAACATTTTTACATTTCAAATTTCAGTGAATGTTGATTGGTTAATACTTCGGTAGTACGCCAAAAAGTTGACTTGCGAAAACTTTTCATTTTGATATACGCGAATACACCGGAAGTACGTGACTTTATCAACCTCATTTCAATCTACGCATGCTCACCAATATGTTTTGTTACGGTACGATTGAAGTGGAAAACTGGCTTTAGAAGAAGCTTTAGACATCCATGAAAAATTTAAGCTACTAACATGAAGTATTACAGCACTATAGCCTTCCCTTACCGCTTGACAACCTTCTCTTGTCATCGTGGGCTTCTTGATCATTCAAAAAAATATCACAAGTTTTTCATAGGACAAACATAGGTACAAAGTGCTGTGTGCACTCCAGGATGGCGTCATAGCACGTAAAAAATTTCGGACGTTTTTCTCAAGCCAAAACACATGGGTGTATCCCTTATGGTCTGGTATCTATTCTGTGACTAAAGCCTCTGCGGAGGAGAGAGTTGCATTCAGGCCGATTTCCATTCTGTGCAAAATATCGCAAGATCAACTTTTTACGATCACTTTCTTTTTACGATCACTTTCTTTAGAAATAAAGAAGAATGAAAAATAAAAAGGTGATCTTCCAATAGGCCGTGTGCATGCACAATGTAAATATATTATATAAATTAACAATAGTTTTAATTCAATGGCTGGAAATAAATTTCCAGTATTAGTATATTCGCTTCATTTTGGTTTTAAAGCTAGAGATACTTTTCGATGATTTCATTGCAGTGGTCCTTACCACGCCTCAGCCGCCTTGTAGACAAAAGCCTTTTTCATACTGTTTGTTTTTGGCTTAGGTAATGCGAAATTAAAATCGCTATATATTTCTCGTATTATGAGTATGATTGTATTCGTGTTGGTGAAAATTTCAGTTAAATGATTTGGTAACATTTTGTTTTTGACTTTAAACATAAGGAGCGCTAATTGGTGTTGTCGTCTGGCTTGTAAGTTAGAAATTCCTGCATTTTTCAAAATATCAGCAGGTCGAATCTCATAGCTTTCACGTGTTATTATCCGATCGGAAATCCTGAACTAGGTGACGCTTGAAGGCCTACCAAATTTGCATGTCAGAATATTGTGCTATAAATGAAATACTGCACCAGCTTCATATCCAACAATTGTGCTCTTCACTAATTCATATATAACTGTTAGCTCTATTTGCATTTCATGCTCATTTATGTCGTCACAATAAAGTGACTTAACACTGGTAAAATATAGAAATAAATTTACATACTTTCGTAAGTTAACTACTGTTTTCTTGGGTTCAGAGAATAATTTTAATTTTTTTTTAAATTTCATTAATTTTTTAGCGATTCCCAGCAAGCCTTTCGCGCTCGTATTCGACTTTTCCGCTTTGCCCCGGGACAACCTTAATTGAAATAGCTGTATGTACCCTCGTCTGAACATTCACAACTTATCCACTCGTTCACATCCATCTGAACAAGAAAATCGCACCTAAAATCGGAAGAAAAATTGCAAATGTAAACGAGCCTTTATACTATGTGTATTATACAGCATTTCATTTCAGCCTTTAGTCAGACCTGTACTTCAACATGGATTGAATGTATAGTTCCACTAAGGAGATCATCCTTTTTCTCTGAGGTTAGCAACATCAAAATAAGACTCCGAATAAATTGGTGATCGAACTTTTCACCCACAAGATATTTTTCGTTATTTTCGGTGATGTTTTCGGGACAAAATTGACTAGCAGTATAATTTAGAAAAAAGTATTTACGATTCTACGGTTACTTTCATGTTGTTTATTTTGAGTTTTATTGGGTATTTTTAAAGGTTTTGCACTATTTCTCTGGCTCCATATTCAACAGAAATTTATTACCGCTACTTTTTGGGCTATTAGGCTTTAAATGTCAACAGACAATGACACAGAAGTGAGAAACTTCGGTTTTTGTTGATTTTTGTCAGTGCAAAATGAAAAGATAAGCCTGATTTAAAAAATCATCAGTCTTTAACGGATAAAGCGGCTTAAACCTCTTTCACACTTACGTACCTCTAGGAGACCGTTCATTATTAGCATGCATGCGAAAGGACCGTGTGTTAAAAATCAGGAGGACGCAAAAATTATTTTGTCTTATGCGGGGGTGTATACAGTGTGTATCAAAATAATTCGAATCCAAATTTGGCGTGTAATAACGCAGAATATATTTGACAAATTCGGTTGGTTTTTACACCATTGTTAAGTTCATTTATTTACCTTTCAAATGACATGCTGTACGCGTCATTTAGTTTGAAAATGAAGGAGTATTGCTTTGACAAAAAAAGTCCATAAAAATCACAATTTTCCGCCGATGGGAATTGGACATTTTTTCTTTCAAAGTTAGTCCCACAAGGCTTTGAAATGCTAATCATCGCTGAAAACTAAAATGCAAATTTAACGCGAATTTCTTCTCGTTCAACATGTTGAAGGCACAGGAGCTTAAATCTCTTTAAATGAACACGAATTTATGTAAATTTTGCTACATAACAGTTTGTTGATTAATTAAATTTGCATTATCTTTTGTTTGTACGTCTCACTTCGAATTCCCATCAGCGGAAAAATTTGATTTCGATCAACCAGTTTTAACACACGATTTCTTGGTCATTTTTGATCTTATTGATATAAGAACGATATAATCGGAAACCTAATAGGCTATTCTTTATTGCCATATAAAAATTATATGGTTTACTTTAGTATTTTATAAACAGCAGTCTGTCAAATTTGGATTCGAATTATTTTGATACACACTGTATAAATTGAAATAACTAAGTCTTTGAAATTAAATCTATTTTTTATGAAATTTTGGCAGATTTATTTGCATGTAGAAGTTTGAATTGAAGAATACAGGAAATCGTATTTTCGAGGTCTTGAAAGTTTACAAGTCTAGAGCACTCAAAATCTTCTGGAACAATGGGCCTGGGGCAGACTGTGTGTCCACAGCTTTAGGACCTTTAGGTTCAGCAGCTTCAAATTTTCTGAAGACTAAGGCCACATAAAATAAATTCCTTGATTCTCATCACCGCCTGACGGCATTTGGAGTCCCGCTTTGATATTTGTTTTTATTTTGTTATAAAACATAAATGTACCGCCCGACCTAGCATCTTTAGAGATTTAGTTTTTTTATATTTTGTATTGGAATTTTTAACGATATTATTTTGCGATAATCGCAATTGAAATCGCTCACTTGTTGAGGGATATGCGGGATACTGAAGGTAAACATTGGATTATGTAATACAATGATCTGAGGACCCTTGTGTATCAGTGTATGTTCATTATATACTACTATAAACGCGTGGCATGTCATTGACTTGATGTCTTGACTCTTGATCGAATGATCGATCGAAGAAATGCCGCTTGTTGTTGTTCAATTGAGAGGTGAATCTTGCAAGGTTCACAAGCCTTGGTTTGGCGTAAACGTGGTGGAATCTGTAAGCTTGCGAGAGTTGTTCAACGATTTTATTTCAGGCTCCCTAGACGGTCAAATCGCAAACACCAACTTGTATCCTGATCCGACCAGTTTTCCTTCGGTAGCAGTAGGATCAAACAAATCAACCCTCACACCAGTGGACCTCGAATCAAAAGTTGGCGATGTTGTTAAAGTCCTAGGAAATTTTGTCGAGTTTGCCGTGTGCAAACGAAATGAAGCACTGGAAGTCAATGTTGCTTCGGTGAACGACGTCCTTATGAAAGCTGCATATGTATGTACAGAAATTTAAATATCGCAGAATACGGTGATCTGGCATAATAGTCAATATATTACAGTAAATAATGAATTTTGACAGTTAAATATATTTTGTTTTATATCAAAACATTGGATTTCATGACAGTAAACTGAATTACAAGACTTAAATATTAAATATATCAGATAAAAGGATTAAAAAATCCAGATTCTAGAGGAAAAAATATATTAATTCCCGTTTCGGTTTTCCAAATATGGAATGTCTATCCTTATACGGTATTGTTTACAACTTTCTTACAGTCTACATGGGGTGGGTCATCAGATATCCTTGGAAAGGGGAGAGAATTTTTTTCTTAGAACTTTGACGAAATTTTCTTACGATGTACAAGTTGTGCAGGAATTTTTAAGTAATATTTTTAGTATCCGTGTACTTCAGTAGTTTCAGGAATTTTCTTTATTTCCCTATTAAAATGCTTGCTTTGAATGTTTTTCAAATTCTACCCTTTGCATGATTTTGTTTATCTGCCATCCCCTCCCCAGATATCTTTATCCACCTCTGCATTCAGAAATTTTCATATCAAAAGTATATACTGTATTCTCTCTATTTAAGGTTTCTGGGTGCTTATTCTCTTCAGGCCCTTGGGGGAGGGGGGGGGGCCTTTGGTAAAATTGTATATATACACAATGCAAATTTTTCAAAACTCGTTAAGATATTTTTTTCTTATTTTAAGAAAAGTTATCTTGGTTTGAGATTTAATTTCTTGATTAAAAATTTTTTTTCTTAAATACAAGGTAAAAAGATTTAGCAAGAAAAATTATCTTGCTGTCACAACTAAAATATCTAGTTTCAAGATTATATTTCTTGATGATAAAGTGAATTGTCTTATCAAGAAAAAATATCTTGCTTTCAGAACTAAAATATCTGGTTTCAAGATTTTATTTCTTGATTATAAATTGAATTGTGTTATCAAGAAAAATTATCTTTCCTCTAAACGGAAATATCTAATTTCAAGATTCTTGTTCTTAGACATATGATAATTTAAACACGACAAGAAAAATTTTCTTGCGATTCCAGACAAGAATATCTTGCTTTTCTTAAAATTATGCTACTTCACACGCACAAGCACATTACGTTTAAACAATTAAGCAAGAAAACTTACTGTCCCCAAGAATTTAAAGATCTTGTTTCCAGGCTTTTCTTCTTTCTATAAAGCTAATTCAAAAAAGGTTGTCTTTTGCAAACCTTAAACTCTAAAATCTTAATTGAGGGCGCAACACATAATAGGGGCACAATTTTTCCGTTTAGAAATTATATTACATGTGGCTCATTTTTAGAGACATGGTAGAGACATCTCCTTATACGAGAACATTTCATTAGCAAATAGCTGCAAAATTCAACTATTATATAAGCTTGAAAATTATGTTCCCATTATGCTATGCGCGCTTAGAGTTTAAGGTTTGCAAATGACAACCTTTATTGAACTAGCTGTATATGGTAATAATTAACTTAACGTCTCGAAAACGTTGGAGTTTACATCGCTACGCCTTCCAAAATACTCACAATCATCGTTCCTTTAACAATATAGCCTATTTGAAATAAAACTCACTATGTATATAAGTGATATAAAATCGACCCTATAAAGTTGCTCGATATCTTGGCCCTTAATTCTCTTTCAGTCAATTCTCCTTCGATAATGTTAAGGCTACCAACTTTGAGAGCCTTCGGATGCATATATATATATATATATATATATATATATATATATATATATATATATATATATATATATATATATATATATATATATATATATATATATATATATATATATATATATATATATATATATATATATATATATATATATATGGCCGTGTCAAGTGGCCGAAAATTTATTATTTGTATACTTTACTTTAGTCATCTTTAATAAATTCTTCGATACGTAGCCATCTCTTTGTCGTAATATATATATATATATATATATATATATATATATATATATATATATATATATATATATATATATATATATATATATATATATATATATATATATATATATATATATATATATATATATATATATATTAAATAACATATATATATATATTAAATAACATATATATATATATATATATATTAAATAACATATATATATATATTAAATAACATATATATATATATATATATATATATATATATATATATATATATATATATATATATATATATATATATATATATATATATATATATATATAGTATAGCAAAACTGTCAATAATCTGAATGATGATCAATGATCTGTCTCAAAAATGCAACGGATTCTCGCCAACAACATGCTCTTCAATGATCACTCACCGATGTAAAGTCCAGTGTTGACATTCACTGGTGAATAAATATTGTAGTCAAGCATTCTGCGATACAAGCAAAACGTCGTGGGTTCAAAATAGGAAAGTTTCTCCACTTTGTAAGCCATGAATCGAGATGAAAATTCCAGTGTTTTCAATGGAGTGTACTCAAAAATGACCTCTTCACCGACTGAGAAAATTTTTTCCAGCTGACCAAAAACGGGCATCTTGTTGGAAAAATCTGCATCGACAGCAACAACACAACCTCTGCTAGGTATGTAGGATGAACCATGAAGCGTAATCCATTTCGTCGTGTAAACATTAGTAAACACCTCAGGATGAAGTAGTAACCCAGCATCATCCATTCTGTGGAAGCTAGGTCGTTTCCTTCTAACTTCTTGGTTGGCCCATGTTTCTTTTCTGTTTGGAAAAGTGGATGATGATTGGGGTTGTCATTGCAAAGATTAGCACAATCATCAAGTTGATATCGTTCTGCTAACGACAAGCAAATGTTCTTGAAGTTTTGCAGAGGAGCAATATCTTTGAAATACGCATATCTGGCCTCGAATCGCATGCAGCTGTGTCGATCGTACTAGTGGACCAAGATGCAATATTTGATCTGGAATATGAATCAGATAATGCATCTTGGGTATGATGTTTATCGTTGGAAATAACTCTTTGAAATTCGTGAGATGCAATTCTACAGCTTCTCGTAACTCGTCTACCCCTGGAGCACTGGCGACTGGGGAAAAGCAAATTTGCACTATTAAGATGATTTGCAGGAGAAGTTGATAGTAGAGGTCATCTACTGGAACATATTTCACCAAGATAAATGGTAACTTTTTTAGGTATATTCTCGCTTGTTCTGCTGTCAGCTTCATTTTATAAGATCCCTGGTTAAATGCAGTTTCTCTCAGAGGTGGGGGTCTGTTCTTCTCATCATGGTATCCTAATCTAAACTGTTCAACTGTTTTAGTGTAATGACGCCCGAGTCAAAGAAATGTTGCAATATAAAACGAACTTCGTATTGCACAGTTCCTTCAAGCAGCACATGCATGATATCCTGGGGGAGTTGTGCAGTGATATCAAAATGACTAAGTTCACTTAAGATACTCCTGTCCACAATTCCATATGTTGTTTGGAGGTCCTTTTTCATGGCTTCTGTTGGTGAATCTTCAATATCTTGACAATGCTGTTCATATTGGGCCAAATTTCGCAAAGTGAACTGAGTGGCAGTGAATTTCTCTTGCATGTCTTCAAACCTACAAAGACAGTTTCGACACTTCTGATGCGCAAATCCAACGCCCACCTTGAAGTCACCCCATTGATGCTGTCCTTCTGTGTCACCGATACAACTGACCACAGCACCATACAACTTCACTGAACATCTATCTATGTCAAAAATGTGACCAGCAGCTAGTTTCTCCAAATCATTCACAATTGGTGTCAATATTTTACCATGACCATATTTAGCAACATCGCGTGCCTTAACAATGGCGACCAATCTGATTGCGCAAAGTTTTGACCGAAACCTTGGATCAATGTTACCCAATGAATAATAGTACAAATCGACCTTGTGTTTTCCCATGTGACTTCCCAGAGGGTTGCACAGCTCTACCTCATCATGGTATAGAACTACTTGAAGACCATCAGCATTTAGCTGGAATATAGGGTTACTCTTCCAGCATAAACCATCTCTTATATCGTACAATATCCCTTCTTTGGACTTTGTCAAATGGTTTCTTACTAAATCATAGGTTCTTGGATTTGAGAGAAGTTGCTCGATGCTTTCTAGGATAGGAATATAAACCATTGTGTCATCTGTTTCACACATCTGCCACTTGTTTCCTTTGTTCTTGAACCCAATATTTCTACCAAGGATATATTCAACCGGCTGAACATATTTCATGTTCTTTTGAATAAACGATGATTGTGCATTGGCAGTTTGAAGGTTTGAGAAGGGATCCTCAAATCCTTCAAATACTTCATCTATTGACTGTTGGGTCAACCCATCATTTGCAGCTATACATTCTGTTACCTTTTGTTTTAAATGACTCTTAACATTGTCAACCAATTGACTTGTCTCTTGGACAATGTTATTTACGGCAACCTAAAAATGCAG